TTACGGTTGGCTTATCTAAAAATAGTCAGCCTGTCTTCAACCCAGGACCATTTTGTTATGTCTCTTAAATCTGTTTTAATCTCTTCTTGGCACTGATTTGTTGAAGTAACTAGATCAGTTTTCCCCAAGAATGTCCTACTTTGGGGATTTATCTGGTTGCTTCCTTATAGTATTGTCTTGCTTGTTTCTCTCTCTTCTGTATGTCCTGTAAACTAAAAGCTAGACTGTAATCTTAACTGTAACTCCAGTTTAGTATTTTGGGCAGAAATATATCATAGATGTGTAGTTCTCATTGCATTGTGTCAGGATACATAAAATCTAGTTGTCTTATTATTAGTGTTAAGATTAATCCCTGGATAAAGGTGATGACAGCCTGTTCTCTCCACTGTCTCAGCAATAAATTTAGTGACTGGCCATAGAACACAGCAAAGCCATAATGGCTCTCACCAATGACCTTGTTCCCTTTAAAGGAGGTTTGTAAACTTTTATGCTAGGATGGACCTTTCAGCTGTATGATAATCCTTTCTCTGAAGCACCTACTACTGTGTGTTAAAAAATAAATCATTTATTTAACAACCATGTTGTTGTTGTTGTTATTTGCCATCAAGTAGGGCCCAACTCATAGCGACCCCTCCTTGGGTTTCCGAGGCAGTATCACTACGAAAGTAGATTGCCCCATCTTCCTTCCAATTAACAACCATAGAGACTACCATTTATGTTTAACCTGACTTGTGTTACTTCTTAGTATTAAGATTTTCTTTTCAGTATGTCAATAAAATAATAGTGAAAATAAAAGTAATACATTTCTTTGCTCCTTGTGGGCATGCTTTTTGGTTTGGGAAAACTAGCCTAGAGCCGCACTATAGCTACTGATGAGGACTGTCACACAGCCAAGCAGGCTTACCCTACAGAGGCAGGGTAGCTTGGCCTGTAGTAGAATTAGACATACCCACCAAAACATTCAGGGAACTTCCAGAAATTCAATCTGGATTCAGAAGAGGACATGGAATGAGGGATATCATTGCTGATGTCAGACAGATCTTGGCTGAAAACAAAGAAAATCAGAAAGATGTTTACCTGTGTTTTATTGAATATAAAAAGGCATTGAACTGTGTGGACATAACAAATTATGGGTAACATTACAAAAACAAGAATTACAGGTCACTAATTATGCTCATGAGGAAACTGTACATAGACCAAAAGGCTGTCTTTTGAACAGAACAAGGGGATAGTGAATGGCTTTAAATCAGGAAGGGTGCACAGCAGGGTTGTATACTTTCACCTTACTTATTCAATATGAATGCTGAGCAAATAATATGAGAAGCTGGACTCTATGAAGAAGACCATGACATCAGGATTGGAGGAAGGCTCATTAACAACCTGCCATATGCAGATGACACAAACTTGCTTGCTGAAAGTGAAGATGATTTGAAGCACTTACTGATGAAAATTAAAGACTACAGTCTGCACTTGGCCTCTGATCCAGCAAAATATATTCCACCACCAGTAATATATTCTACAGACATATTTGAACACATGCACAGAGATTTAAGTACTGCTTATTTCACTTCTTTTAAAATGTATGTTGTTAGTTTGTTCACTTGTAAGTACAAGATCCTCCTACCTTGTAGATCCCTAAGCAACTTCTAGAAGGGTACTTTGGGAGATCTGAGGCATAGTCAAGTGAAAAGAATTATTAAGTGTTTGACATTTTTGTTCTGCCTCTTAGTGTGTTATATAATGCTTTGAATCTTAAAAGTTTGCAAGTGGACATCCAAGGCACAACAATTGGTCTCTATTTGCCTGGAGTAACAGAGAAAGAAGGAGAGTAGGAATAGGAGGAGGCCTCCTTTACCATGAGACCAGAAGAACTTGATGATGTCTGGCTACCATTACTGAAGGCTTTAGTCTAAGACTCTATAGAAGAATCCTGATCAGAAGGGAGAAAATACAATACAACATTTCAAATTTTCATAGAATCCAGACCTTCCAGAGGCATAGAGGATGGATGACCCTCCAAACAATTTCCCTGAAATCATCTTTAAACCTTAAACCAAAAATATCCCCTGAAGTCTTCTTAAAACTAAACAATAGTTTAATTTAACTAGTAAAGAATGTCTGCCTTGAGAATTGTGCTCTATTTAATATCTATCTCTATGGGATCAAACTGACAGCAGTAACTCAAAAGATAAGATAGGAACCTTGGAGGGCAGTGAGTTTATGTTAAGGAGAGAGGAACAACTTGAAAAACGAGAGTGAGAATGGTGCACAACTTGAAGAATATAATCAATGTCACTGAATTGTACATGTGGAATTGACATATGTTTTGCTGAGTATATTCTCAACAAGAAAAATAAATTATTTTTAAAAAATAAAATGGAAAGACTATGTTAAGAGGTCAGCATAGGGGTTTTCTCACCCCTGGCTAAGAGTATTCTCTTATTTTCCTGCAATGCAGTTCTTAAAAGTTTTGTTTTTAAAATTTTGACCTTTTTTTGTAGCCTTTTCCCATATAACATATAAGTGTATGTCCCTTAATTCCAAGACACGTCTGTGAAATAGGATGTTGTACAATCTGGATGTTGTACAAACACCATATTGTTATATACAAGCAGTCCCCTGTACAATCCATAAGTAAATCCCCCATGAGCCTATTATATTTAAACCTTATGGGAGCCTGCCAGACAAAGCCTGAAAGATGTGTCTACTGGATACAGGAGGCCAACCTTGCTAGGTGTGAGACTGCACCAGGGAGGAGCTACGCTTGCAGCTGGATTGGGACTTTTCCCGCTTCCGGGCTCAGGGAGGGATGCCAAGAGGTGGTCATGGGGACCAGGTATGTGGGTGCTGAGATTGCACCTGGTGGTGGTGTCCCTGGCTGCTGCTGCCCTGTTGGTGCACCCACTTCCATATCATGTGCAGCTGCCACTGCTGCTGCCCAGAGCCAGGAGCCCAGCACACACATCTGGTCTAGCAAGGGCTTTCCTCACCCCCGGCAGGAACAGAGGAACCATGGCCTGTACAGCTGCTGGATGGGTGAATGAAGCCAGGAGGAGGGGAAAGAGGAAATGAGAGAAGAGACACTGTGGGGATGGGGATGCACCCTGGAGCTCCGGCACTCATTCACTCTGGGGGTTTGTGGGCTTTGAAACCATTAGGGGAAAATAATAAAGAAAAGGAGAGCTGCTTTCCCTTTAAAATATATATATATGTTGTTGTTGTTTGCCATCGAGTCGGACCCGACTCATAGCGACCCCTCGCTGGGTTTCCGAGGCGGTATCACTACGGAAGTAGATTGCCCAATATATATATATATATATATATATATATATATGTATGTATATATATATATATATGGGACAATGAAGGTATATGCAGGCAGAGGTTGCCCCAACAGATACTAAACAATGCATACCTTCTTAATAAAGTTATCCAATTTCTTTAATTTAGTTCTGATATATAAGTTTTCCCCTTCAGGCTATTAAACAAAATGCATTAAAAAAAAGTTATCTGTAAAGATAGTAAACTAAAATATAGGTACTATGATCACAAATATAAAAGGGAGTACAAATACTTAAAGCAATTCAATTCAAGACCTCTAGCTGGTGTACTACAGAGTATCTTATATTTCATAGAAAAGAAAAAAGAAAGTACATCATGGTTACAGAAATTATGGTATATCAACCCAGCAGAGATTATGCAAGCATAGAAATTAAGCTTCAAGCCTATGTGACAGAATGGGGAAAATTTGCTGACATCGTATTCTGAGATAAAAGCAAAATAAAAAATTGAAATGTAGAATTATGTCTGCATATGGACAAAGACTGGAAGGAAAAAGGCAAAAATGAAATTAGTTTCCATGCTAGATTAGATTTTTTTTCTGCTTTAAAGTTATTATAGTAATATTTATTCAACAAATAAGACAAATTAAGCTGAAATAAAACAGAATTCTCAAGGTTCTCCCTCGCAGAAAAGGAATTGCCCCAAAAGATACAAGATCATAATTTCTCACAGAAGAAATAACTTTATTTTCAATCTATGATACAATGAACAAACAAACTGTTGGTGAAGAAAGACCTTTTCTCAATCCACAACCACAGTTACTTTTTAGGTTTGCCTGGCCACTCCACATCACATTCTTTTATTTTGACGGCTCTAGTGAAATTCCCCACATGATAACTGCCTGGCCTTTTATATATGACTTTTCCTAAAACCTGCAAGTGCTAGGGGACAGAACCTGTTTTTATTACCCTTGCACAGGGCTGGGTTACCACTCAAGATTCTTGACAGGTGAATGTTAATTAAATATAGGCTGCTAATATAGGCTCAGACTACCTGGTATTATTTTTACCAATTAATCTATCTAAAGAAATGCTGATGTGTGTAAGGTACATCACTGAAGCATGCACATGAAAGAAAGCAAGGTTACAATAGTTCATAGGTGTTGCAAATGTCAGCAAGCTCCAAGTCCAAGAGTTGCACATCTGGCATACAGATAAACAGGATAAAGTGGAGGTACAACAAAACTCTTCTTACGGTGACCTGACATTAATTACATGGTTCAGCTGAACTGCAAGTCATTCATGTCCCTGGAAGCCTCCTATGTACAGACAGAAGCCAGGCCTGACACTCTTAGCCTGTGGGTGGTGCCAGCCCTGGGCTCCAGCATTATGAAACATTTACATCTACAAAAGAAGGCATTCAGGTGTCTCTTCTGCAGGAAAGTCCTCTTTTTCCATCTAGTCTTCAGCTTCAGTAGATGGGGGGGGGGGCCTTGGATAAGAAGCTTTATGTCTTTTCCGTTACAGTAGGGAATACAAAGGAGCTCTGGTAGCATAGTGCCTAAGGCACTTGACTGCTAACCAGAAGGCTGGCGGTTCAAACCCACCAGCCACTTCTCAGAAGGAAGGTTGGGCAATCTACTTCCGTAGTGATACCGCCTTGGAAACTCAAGAAGTGTTCACTATGAGTTGGGTCTGACTCGACAGCACATAACAACAAGGGAATACAAAACAAAGTGTCTGCAATTTATATACATCTTAAAATTTTCCTGTGTAAAATACTGGCTGTAGAAATAGCCCTGCAGTTCCAAACACACAAACAATTATAAATATCCAAAGAAATACTCTGTCCACCACCATGGCCACGTATTTCCAGTCATCTTCTACCTAAAATGCAAACAGTCAAAGCATTATTTTAAGTCAAAAGCAAAGGAAATATGCGCTGTTTCATAAATAAACTTCTTCTTTTTCAAAGATTTCCCAGGACATTGTTAAAACAAATATTGGTATTATTTTATTTCACCTGTGTCCCCTACATAGTACATATGAGAAATTTTGTTTTGTCTGAAGACAGAAATATCTTATGCAGTTGAATATGGCGTATGCAGAGGACCTAAATAATTCATGAGTCCATGGGTCACAAAGGACCTATCCTGACTGCAACGAATACTTTCAAGAAATAGCCACTCAGATACCTCTACTTTTGTGATTTACACAGCTGGATTTGCTGGTCCCTTGGCAGGCTTGGGAAATGGATTTGGCAGAGGGTGAAGAGAAAGGAGAAAGGATATGAGAAAATGGGATATGATTACGGTATCCTTATCAAGAACAAGCAACCCTCTAAACCTCAGAATGAAGCTGGCTGTGAGTTCCTCACATTTGTCATGTCCTTCCTTCCAGTCTCCAACTTCCAACTTTCAGCTAAGACTCTGTGGTTGAGCCCTGAGACCTCTATCAGGGGTGGGGGAGATGGTGATTAAGTCCACAGCAACTCTTTCCTATATTTTATGAAGATGTCACATGAACACAAGTTTTTCTGGGCTTTCTTGTCCCTTGAGGCAGTCCCCCACCTATTTGCCAGGCATTCACAGCATTTTCCTCTGCACCAACAGAGTGGACTTCAGATCTAGCCACATCTTTTCACTAGGAGATAGGGATGGTGGAAACTACAGTATGAGGGCAAAACTAAATATCTGGCACAAATTTTCAGATACCTTCAGTCAGTCATCGTGATGGTATAGAATTATAATGGGCATAATTTTCTGGAGCTCTTTCTTTGGAGAGTAGGGGCATATGGCTATAGTTAAAGCAGCAGAAGGAGAAAATGACAGTGGTGTCACTAGGGTTGGCGTACCCAGTTCAGAACTCGGGCTGTCACCCCTCGTACTGGACTGGTCTGTCTCGGCGCGGGGCCTGGCCTCGCAGCCCAATCCACCTGGCTTCCCGAAGCTCCTCCTCTCTCCCACTGGCCAGGGCAGAAACCCTCCTCGCTGCTCAATGGTTAGCACCCTGGACCAACCGCATGCACCTTCTATAATAAATAAATAAATAAACCTCACTGCCCTGGAATTGTTTTTCCAACTCATAGCTACCCCTCCTTGGGTTTTCCAGGCAGTATCTCTACGGAAGTAGATCGCTCAATCTTCCTTCCCAGGAGTGGCTGGGGGGTTTGAACCACCAGCCTTCTGGTTAGCAGTCAAATGCCTTGGGCACTACGACATCAGAGCAGATTACACTGTAGGAGTGACGAGTTATCATACTGGGTGACAGGTAACACTGAACTCTAGTAATGCCACTGCCTTGGAGGCCTCTCCCCCTGGGCTCCAGCCCATGTGCTGCCCTCTGCCAAGGTGAACTGGACTCTAGGGCATTTTGGTGTCACCCCCTCTGACAATGTCAGGTGGTGTGATGTGCAATCCTCGCACCCCCCTAGTGAAGCCACCGGAAAATGGTGCTAAAAATATCCCAGAGTCTCAATCCATCAACACTCAAATCCCTCTCATTTAGCATCAGTGAGATCTGAGCTGCCAGAAGGCTAACTCTCACCTTGCCACCACCTTCAGCCTGCAAGTGGCTTTTGCGTCATTCCTCCCTCCTCTCTGAGGACAGCTTTTCCCTTTCCACCCTTCTATCTACCACTGTTTATTATGCAGCAGTTCTTGGTTTTGTTAACAAAAGTTTCCTTTAGTGTTTATTTTAAGTAGATTCCACTTGAGTTAAAATTTCTGGAGACAGAAGTTTGCTCTGGTACTATATCTTATCCCACCCTACCCCCAGGTATGAGCCCTCACTCCACCCATAACTGCTAATAAGAGAGCTGATCTTTAGAGTAATACTACCTGACTACCTCTTGTCAACACAACTCACACTTAAAATCGGACCATGTCTATAAAGTGCCTCTAAGACTGCTAAGGGTGAAGACTGGGCAGGCCAGAGGGGACATATCTTTACCTCTTTTGTTTCATTCTGGTTCTTCATGTTTTCTGCAATAAATTGAACACTATTAATCACATCTTCGACTTCAGGGGAGTGCTCCAAATTTTCTGTCATCCATTTTAAAGGCTGACGACTTAGTCTTCTCTTGCTGCTGCTGGTGGCAGGTTCCCTTGATTTAGTACAGTGACAGCACTCTTTAAGATTGGGCTCTCTGTGGTTAGCAACCTTGGTTTTGGCCAGCTTAGTGGAAATGCCTTTGGGGTTTTTGTCAGAACTTGTCTCCTTCATCTTGTCCAGAGGCCTCATCATCATCAGGATCTGGGGTAACTTCTGAAGGAAAACTGTCTTTACCCACTTGGGCATGGTGTGTGTGGTTGGAGTACGATAGTGTATGTTCAACACAAAGACGGTCACCACAATGGATAGGGTGACAAAGATCATGGTGAACAGTAGGTACTCACCTACAAGTGGGATCACAAGAGATGTGGACGGGATGGTTTCTGTGATGACCAGCAAAAACACAGTCAGAGAAAGCAGAACTGAAATGCAAAGTGTCACTTTTTCCCCACAGTCAGAAGGCAGGTAAAAGACCAACACAGTTAGAAATGAAATAAAGAGACAGGGGATAATCAGATTAATAGTATAAAACATTGGCAGTCTTCTAATGTAAAAAGAATAGGTTATATCTGTGTATATCTCTTCACAACAGTTATACTTTATGTCATGCTTATAGCCGGAAGCATCAACAATTTCCCATTCACTGTTTTCCCAAAAATCATTCATATCTACTTTAGAGCCAATAATTAAAAGATCAATTTCAGCTTTGTCATATGTCCAGGAACCAAATTTCAGGGAACAATTTTGATGATCAAAAGGGAAGAAAGTGATGTCCATAGGACAGGAACTCTTAAAAATAGCTGGTGGAGTCCAGGTTATCATTCCATTGTATTTAAGAAGAGCTTTTGTCTTGCCTTCCACTTGGAAGTCACCAACAGCGCTGTAAAGTAAATCAGACACCATTAGCAACACCTCCTTTGCTGCATCAGCTTGTATCAAAGGTAACTTTAGAATGAAAAGGTGGCTGTCAGATGCCCATACTTGTTATAGAGAACAATGTCAGGCTTCCAAATCTTATCAGCAGGAACATGAAGAGTCTCAATGCCATCGTATTCCATTGGATCCCATCTCAATTTATAATCATTCCAGACCTAAGGAAATAGAAGTCATTTTAAAAAGTTCTTAGCAACATTCCCCTAATGTCAATTTTATGTTGGGTGTGGTGGTTAACTTTGTGTGTCAACTTGGCTGGGCCTGGTTGAATGGCTGGGCAGCTGAATGTAGTACTCCCCATGATGAGACTGGTAATCAACTCCATGGTGGAATCTACTGTGAGCAGCTGAGTAGCTGTCTTTGGGTAGTCTGCTTCCTATATATAAGGAGAAGCCTTGGGGATAGTCTCTAGCTTATGGCACACTTGAACCCTGCATGTAGCTGTGTCATTGTTCAGCAGCCTGCCATGCTCTGCCAACCTTGGGACTTTCAATGGGCTTGAATGAATGGCCTGCTGTGTGGTTTGGTAACATCAGGACTGTGCCATTTTTATTTGTCAATCTTGGGCTTGTTAGGCTCAGCAGCCAGTAGCTGCCCAAGTGAAGAGATGCCTCCAGCTTCAGTGGGCTGGGAGCAAGAGGCAGAGCTGAAGGCCAAGGTCACGGGGCTTTCACACAGCCCCTAGAGCCTGGCACTTTGAACTTGGACTTAATGCCTCCAAACTGTAAGAGAATAAATTCCTGTTTGTTCAGCCATCCCATCTATGGTAAATTCCTGTCAGAGCAGTACTAGGTAACAAAAACATTGGGTCAAATTTTTTTTTTTTTTTTAACGTTTAATGTTATTTGTACTTGGTTGAAGTTGAGTGAACTTTGAAGAGTATAGTGGTTTCTGGTAGCATAGTGGCTAAAGCACTTGACTTCTAACCAGAAGGCTGGCAGTTCAAACCCACCAGCCACTCCTTGGAAGGAAGATGGGGCAATCTACTTCCATAGTGATACTGCCTCGGAAACCCAAGGAGGGGTCGCTATGAGTTGGGGCTGAACTCGACGGCACATAACAACAACAACAACATCAAAAGTTTGGGAGATTAAATCCATGGAGTGTAGGGAGCTAGGTAGCTGAGCTGATCTTGGCAAATATTTAATTATCTAATTAATTACTTATTGATTATTAATTAGTTGGCCAAGATTACAGGCTCAACTTCCATGTTCCATAGAATACTGTCTTGGAGTAGCAACCTATTTTCTTACTAAAATGATAGTTCAAGTGTATGATGATGTGTTTGTTAAAAAGTCTGCATAAAAAGTTAAGAAGGGAAAGAAGAGATGGAATAACTGGGGAAAAAAAACTCAGCTGGTGGAACTCTAACCTACTTGATGTTGAGCTCAACTACTGATTTTCCTAGGCACGTGCAGCAGGGATCAAAGAGTAGTTGACTATGGAGCTCAAGTTACAGGTAAAAATAGGAGACTTGACAGCACAAACAAGACATGACAGAAGTTTATGTCAGAGAGATCTTTGCCACCATGTTTCTGTGCCTGTGAAACTTACATCAAGCCAGCTGTTACCAGAGCTGAACTTTTTAGGCTTTGGAGATGACAGGATGGGTACTATTTTATACTCTATCACAGGTTGGAAATGGGAAACAGGGAATGATAGTGGACTTTAGCCATTAAACATGATTAAGCTGACATGAGTAACACAGTTCAAAAAGAGGGACAGATGATGCAGACACATACATGACGCAGCCACAGATTGGTTTCCATGATTTGGTTTACTTCATCCTGAGAAGAAAAAATAATATTTTTAGCCTCAAATATACTTGCTAACAGCGATGGGTCTTAGCACAAACATTATAGCTAAAAAGAGCCAAATCTGAATTATTCATACTAATGGAGAAAAGCAAAAAGGGTGAAAAGGCAATATATAAAAAGCATTCAGTATGTAACCAGAAATAAGATATCTGTTCCCAACCTTGTTGACACTGAAAGGAAATAGTTTTCAAAGGTGCTTTCAGTCTCATTTCTTCCGTGAAGACTTCTCTGATCATCTCATCCCCTAAAATTTTTGTATTCCATGAAAGGAAAGAAGGAAGAGAAGAGGGAGGGTGGAAAGGAGTCGGGGGGAGGGAATATTGCAGAGGGTAATAGGTATTCAAACCTAGTTCGCTGTCCTTACTGTCTTCTCTTCCACTCTCCAAAAACTTCCCTTCCCTGATGATGCCTCAGGAGTCTCTAGGATCTGAATTCTGATCCATTTGCCCAAGGACCCCATCTTAAAGTGTTAGCCTCAGCTATTTTTACAGCTAGAATCTACCACTTACTCAGCAATGCAACCCCTCCTTCCATTCAAGCCTCCTCTGATTGTTTCAATTATTTATTCAACAAATAGTTATTGAGTACCTAGTAAGTGCTCTACAAATGCTACAGATAGAATAATAAATGGTTAGCCTCTTCATAAGTCTTAGCTGCTGGTTGGGGAGACAGAAAACTAATAGTAGACATGTAATATAAATAGAAATACAATAAATATATATAACATAATGTTATATGTTCAATGTATCAAATCTATTCTTGAGATGGTCTCTAAACAGGTTGGATATACTCAAAGTCATACTTTGGCTGTTGTGAACTTCACAGAGAAATTTTCTTAAGCTTCAATTTAAACTTCAACTGACACAGTGAACATTATTGACTAAAGACCAGACACGTTCTGGGATGACATCAAGGACATAATACATGGAGAAAGTAAAAGGTCATTAAAAAGACAAGAGAAATGGCAAGACCAAAATGGATGTCAGAAGAGACTCTGAAACTTGCTCTTGAATGTGGAATATCTAAGATGATGAAATGAAAGAGCTGAACAGAAGCTTTCAAAGGGCAGCTCAAGAAGATAAAGCAAAGTATTATAATGAAATGTGCAAAGACCTAGAGTTAGAAAACCAGAAGAGAAGAACACACTCAGCATTTCTCAAACTGAAAGAACGGAAGAAAAACTTCAAGCCTCCAGTTGCAATATTGAAGGATTCTATAAGGAAAATACTGAATGATGCAGGAAGAAAATGAAAGGGATACATAGAGTTACTGTATCAAAAAGAATAGTTCCACCAGTTAGGAGGGATCATATGATCAAGAACTGATAGTACTGAAGGAAGAAGTCCAAGCTGCACTTGGAATTGACAACAAACAAGGCTCCAGGAATTGATGGAATCCCAACTAAGATGGTTCAACAAATGGATCCAATGCTGGAAGCACTCACTATGCCAAGAAATTTGGAAGAATTCTACCTGATCAATGACTGGAAGAGATCTGTATTTGTGCCATTTCAAAAACAGGTGATCCAATGAGAATGTAGAAATTATTAAACAATATCATTAATATCAAAGCAAGTAAAATTTTGCTGAAGATAATTTAAAAATGGTTGCATCAACAGGGTGCTGCCAGAAATTTAAGGCAGATTCAGAAGAGGACATAGAACAAGGGATATCAGATGGATCTTGGCTGAAAGCAGAGTACCAAAAAGATGTTTACCTGTATTTTATCGACTATGCAAAAGCATTCAACTGTGTCCAAATTATGGATAACATGGAAAATTCCAAACCAGATGCTTAATTCTGCTCATGTACCTATATGTAGACTGAGAGGCAGTCCTTCGAATGGAACAAGGGGATACTACGTGGTTTAAAATCAGGAAAGGTGTGTGTCAGGATTGTATTTTTTCACTATACTTATTCAATCTTTATGCTGAGCAAATAATCTAAGAAACTGGTGTATATGAAGAAGAACATGGTATCGGGATTGGAGGAAGACTCATTAACAACTTGCAATATGCAGATGACACAACCTTGCTTGCTGAAAGTGAAGAGGACTTGAAGCACTTACTGATGAAGATCAAAAACCATTGTTGCTGTTAGGTCTTCTCCAACTCATAGCGACCCTATGTACAACAGAATGAAACACTCCGGTCCTGTGCCATCCTCATGATCTTTGCTATACCTGAGCCCATCATTGCAGCCACTGTGTCAATCCATTTTGTTGAGGACCTTCCCCTTTTTCGCTGACCCTCCACTTTACCAAGCATGATAGCCTTCTCCAGGGAATGGTTCCTTCTGACATGACTAAAGTAGGTGAGATGAAGTTTGGCCATTCTTGCTTCCAAGGAGCATTCCGGCTGCACTCAAAGACTACAGCCTTCCATATGGATTGCATCTTAACATAAAGAAAACAAAAATCCTCACAACTGGACCAATAAACAACATCATTATAAATGGAGAAAAGATTGAAGTTATGAGGGATTCATTTTACTTGAACCCACAATCAACACCCATGGAAGCAACAGTCAGGAAATTAAATGATGTATTAGTCTGGGCAAATCTGCTGCAAAAGACCTCTCTAAAGTATTAAAAAGCAAAGATGTCACTTTGAGGACTGAGATGTACCTAACTCAAGCCATGATATTTTCAATTGCTGCACGTGCATGCAAAAGCTGGGCAATAAAATAAGGAAGATTAAAGAAGAATTGATATTTCTGAATTATGGTATTGAAGAATATTGAATATACCATGGACTGCCAGAAGAATGAACAAATTTGCCTTGGAAGAATTACAGCCAGAATGCTCCTTAGAAAGGAGAATGGTGAGACTTCATCTCAAGTGTTCTGGACATGTTATCAGGAGGGCTGAGTCCCTGGAGAAGGACATCATGCTTGGTAAAGTAGAGGGTCAGCAAAAAAATAAAAAAAAGGAAGACATTCAGCGAGATGGAATGACACAGTGGCTGCAACAATAGACTCAAACATAGCAACGATTGTGAAGATGGTGCAGGACTGGGCAGTGTTTCATTCTGTTGTACAGAGGGTTGCTATGAGTGGGCACCAGCTCAAGACCACCTAATAACAACAACCACAAGTCAAATATGGATCAACTTTCTGTCTGTAGATTTGCCTACATATGGTTTAGGCTTTTCATTATCATAGTGACATTCCCTGGAGTTGTGCAGTGCACAAGCTGAGCAACAAGCACAGTGGCCCAACTGCTAACACCATGAAGTCACCATATCAGTCTTTGACTGCTACCTCTCAACTTCTGTTACGTGAAAAAAGAATGATTATTATTTTTTTTAATTAAGCAATTTTTTAAAAAATCTCTGTTACTTGTAGCCAAATGAAATTTCTAGCTAATACAGTCTAAGTCAGTCTCCAGATTTTGCCAAAATTTGCATTCAGTAATCAATCTTCAGTTCACCATCATCAGAACAATACCTTGAAAGGGCATATAACTCAAAGATTTGAAGCAAATTCTCCATCACTGACTTTAGATGAAACTCAGTTCAGTTCTCCATTCATACCAAAAACTAAACTCACTGCCGTCGAGTCGGATCTGACTCATAGCGACTCCTCCTTGGGTTTCTGAGGCATTATCACTACAGAAGTAGATTGCCCTATCTTCCTTCAGAAGAGTAGCTGGTGGGTTTGAGCTGCCAGCCTTCTGGTTAGCAGTCAAATGCCTTAGGCACTATGCCACAAGTATTATTTCTAGCCCACTATGAGACGGGTGACTAGTACTGAGCTATTGGGTTTGGAGAGAGGATCATAATATGGACTAAATAAATGCTTATCAAAGGAATGAGTAGACCTATCTAGATGAGTGAAAACATCTATGTTTTTGTTTTGTTTTGTTCATTTTAACCAAGATATATGTACTTCCAGTCCAGGCCAGAAGCTAGAGGACCACTAGCTGAAGCTTTTGTGTTAATAAGATACTTTCCGACTACAGTTGTGTTCCCTTTCTTAGAGTTGACTGTTTTACCATTCCTTACTCTAGTAGATCCATGAGATCCTACCCTCTGTGATAACCTGCCCCAGTGAGCCAGCGTAGGGAAACAGTGTGTCCCACAGGAAAAGCCAGACTCAGACCAAGGATCAGCCTTATCACCAGGAGGAGAGACTGTAGAAATCTTAAGGAACTTGACTGAAGAAACATGGTGAAACCTGACTGGATAAACATGATGGAGCCTGACTTCACATCTGCAGTGAAGGACTTTCTCCAAGTATGCCTAAAGAGCCCACCACCACCATTTTACCCACAGGACAAGGTCCAGGAGGAAGGAAGACTCTCCTGATCCATGGGTTAAGCCTTAGCAAGGAAATGACGAAAGGTGCTCTATTGTCTCAGGGTCTTTCTCACCCCCTTTCAAGCAATGCTTCAGATTTCTCTTCCTGAGCCTGTCTATTCCTGGAATTTGTTTTTGAACCTGAGCCTCAGGCTGGCCCTGTCCCCTCTCATGCTCAGCCTGAATTCAGAGCCCTAGGACCCACTATTTCTCTGCCAGCATCTAGGGAGGGAAGATTACTCAAAAGAAAGAAGTCAGGTCCTAATCTTTCTTGAACATGGTAGTAACAAATGAAAACACAATCTCCAAAATCTATGCTCTATTTTTTAGGGCAACAGATGGAACTATATATGAAAGAAAGTAGATTTTTTTTCTTAGAGGACTTACAAAGCAACTCTCTTTCTATAGAATAAAAAGAACATGAGCTTTGTTGCTGGACAGGCCTGGGTTTTAATCTCAGTTCTACATTTTAATTGTATGACTGTGGTAGTTAAGTTTGTGTGTCAACTTGGCTGGGCCTGGTTGAGTAGCTGGGCAGCTGGATGTAATTATTCCCTATGGTGATATCAGTAATTAACTCCATGGAGAAATCTATTGGAGCAGCAGAGTAGCTGCTTTAGGGATGTGGTCTGCTTCCTGTATATAAGAAGCAGCTTTGAGGATGGTCTCCAGCTTTTTGGCGTGCTTGAACCCTGCATGTAGCCAAATCATTATTCAACAGCCTGCCATGCCCTGACAATCTTGGGACTTTTTCTGGACTTGAATTAGTGGCCTGCTATGTGGTTTTTAATATTGGAACTCTGACTTGTTACTTGTTGACCTTGGGTTTGTTAGCCTCAGCAGCCAGGTGCTGGCTGAGTGAAGAAAGCCTTCTAGCTTCAATGGGCTGAGAGCAAGTGGCAGAGCTGAAGCCCAAGATCGAGGGGTTTTCACCCAGTCCCTGGAGCCTGGCACTTTGAACCAAACCCGCCAGGCACACCTCGGAAGGAAGGTTGGGCAATCTACTTCCGTAGTGATAATGCCTCAGAAATCCAAGGAGTGGTCGCTATGAGTTGGGTCCGACTCAATGGCAAATAACAACAACAACAATAAGAGAATAAACTCCTGTTTGTTAAAGCATCCTATTTGTGGTATATTCTGTTAGAGCAGCACTAGGTAACCAGAACAATGACCATGGGAAAGTTACTTCACTGAGTTTCTTTTGTTTCCTCAGCTGTAAAATGCAGATAATAACAGCCACTAAGTATAAAGTATCTAGTGCACAACAGGTACACCTTTGTATTCTCCCCTCCAACTTTGCCTTTACCTCTTCATAAACTGGTTCTGAAAACGGTTCCAGAAAAAATTAAACCAAACCCACTACCCTCAAGTCAATTCTGACTCATAGTGACCCTTTAGGACAGAGTAGAACTGCCCGCACAGTGTTTCCAATGCTATAAATCTTTATGGAAGCAGACTACCTCATCTTTCTCCTGCAGAGCAGCTGGGATTCAAACTGCTGACCTTTGCTTAATAGCTGAATGTTTAACCAGTATGTCACCAGAACTCCTTGGTTCCAGAAAAGTACTGCCTAAATATGAATAATTCAGAACCATTGAGCACAGTGTCTCCCTCCCAATAGAATTGCTTTGAAGGAGCCAGCATCCATGTAATGTTCGTTTGTTGTATTTCTTGATTCTCTTATTTACCGCATGCAAAAATGGGTAACACTGTTTGAGAATTGCTGCAGCCTCTTCAGAGTTCAGGATCCTTGAAGATACGCACTTACCACGTTGGCCAGCTGTGTGATGGCCAGTTCAAAATGCACCGTGACAGGATCAGAAACGTTTTCCACAGGTCTGATGAACTGGTTATAATGAGAGAATAGTTTGTGAAAGAGTCTCTCCTCAGACGCACAGCCTGCACAGCCTGCATTGGCCAAACAGAAGAGAGAATTAGAGAACCTGAGAGGATGCCAGTAGGCCAGGCCGGGTCTGCGCACATTCAGTCTTCCGTGACACAAGCAGTGGGGAGTCCAGGCCACTTGTGCATCCCCTCCTCTAAGCTTTCTCTACCTGCCCATGCTTCCACCTGTGCCCATTCCACTTTTCCTTTGGAACAGGGATGTTAATTGTAATGTTATACCACAGGACTAGTGTGATAATCAAACACCATGGCAAGAGCACTTTTAAAAGTTTGATACACTGCAAATGTAAAGGTACCAACACAAGACTTGGAATTTTTTGCTAATATCACTAAATGTAACTTGCAATTGAACTGATCAGACTAGAAGTCTTTCAGTATTTATGGAAAAGTTCTGTCCTTTCTTGTCTGAAATACTGATCTGACCGACCTCTGTTGAAACCTTGAAACAAGCAAGGTGTTTAGCTAGGGAACCGTCACAAAGCAAACTGAAATAGCCAGTAATTTTATTAAGGTCTTAACAAGATATCCTCCTTTGTAAAATCAACTTTAAAATTTAATTAATTTTGAAATTTGTGAGAATGTAAGGATTTTAAAGAAAATGTACTCAAAATATTTTTAAAGAATTCAAAATTTGTTCTTCAATAATAGTATTTTCAGTCTCTGCATTCTAGACAGTATCTCAATGCATATCTCTTAGTATTTTTTCAGAAATGCTTTATTTACCTTCGTTTGACATAATTCATTTTCCTTACTACCCCCTTTATAGAATTAAAATTTGACACCTGAAATAATACTCCACAAATTTCCCAAGAAGATTTATAACTTGAAAGAAAAAAAATTAAAGAGACTTAAAGGCTTGTCGAGCAAAAATGAAAAATAGGATAGGCGTTTGCTAAATAAAAGAGCTATTTGACATATGCATTTGGAAACACCAGGATTTCAGCAAGAAAGAAAAATTGTTAATGTAAAATATCATCTTACCATGTAATTAATGATAAAGTATTTTTAGAGAAAAGAGATTGGATAAAAATGTTCATGCCATCACTCTTTTTTGTTTTTATTTTCCACTTGGAGACATTTTAGAAAAATCTCCCATGTGTCTTAAGGAGCAAGTCCCCAGCAAACCCAACAGCACATGGAATTAATTTTTGTTTAGATCCATTTTTAAGTCTTAACTTTGAAAATGAATGATCTTTCTCTTCAGTTACACTTCAGCATAATAATATGACATGTTTCCTGAAACAAAGATGATTACCTTCAAAATGAAAGGGTTCATAGATTGATTATTAGTATCAGCTAACAAATAAATCATCATTTTGAAAAAAAAAAATTAAATACAACTAGAAATAAATAAGTAATACACTCATAGCAGAGATCAATAGAAAACTACCTCATTCTTATGCTTACCATTTTAAATTGGGAAAAGAAAATAAAACATGGTTTATAATATGTTTCACAGTGCTCCCCCCTAAACAAATATCTCATCTTATGGCTTAAACTTCACTAATAAAAAGTATATAAGTTTATTAGCAGTTGTAACTGTGGTGGATCCTATGCAGAGTCTTTACATATTTATAGAATATTTCATATCTGCTCATTCAAGCACAACCAAAAGAGTAAACACACAGAACTAAAAAGAGAATATGAGATAAAGCAGAAATAAGACCTACCTTTAAAGAAAGGTATGAATATATACAACCAGAGACATGCACCAAACTGAAGGAATCCCTCACACTTGCTGATCAGCATGATTAAAATACACTTTGATTTCTTTTTCTAGGCAAAGGAGTGTGGAAAACAAAGAGCTATCAGACAGTTACACGCATCAGACCTTTAAATCATCAGCGTCTCCCTGCAATCCATTTTTGTCTTCTGAGAAATAAAAACATACACGATTGTTCCAGTAGCGGAGACTGAGGCAGACATAAAGGGCAAATGAAAAAGGACTCAATCTGATGTCAGATGAGTCATCACATCTCCTGTCACCTTAGATCTCTTTTTGTATAAGAATGGTGAAACGAAGCAGCAAGGGAATGAAAGGCTGGCAAGACTGAGGGAGGACAGAAACCATTTCCATGGCTTCATAGGTATTTCTGTAACACAGTCTGTATCATAATCCTTAGATGAATACATACATTTACTGAGTGCCAACTACAGGTAAGGTATACACTGTTGTTGTTGTTGTTGTTGTGTGCCATTGAGTCTATTCCCAACTTGTAGCAACCCAATATGACAGAGTAGAACTACCCCCACAGGGTTTCCTAGGTTATAGAGTCTTTTCTCCCGTGGAGCCATTGAGTGGGTTTGAACCACTGATCTTTCAGTTAGCAGCTGAGCACTTAACTATTGTGCCACCAGGACTCCTTAAGTAAAGAATGTACTGAGTCCCAAATACCGTATTATGATTGAGTTCTCTTAACCAGAAAATAAAAAACCTTTCTAAAGTGAGTCCCCTTTCCTATCTTAGTAGGCACAGTTTAGAGAGAACAGAATTAGTTTGGTTTTTTGCTGACTCCAGAGCATCCAGTGCCTTGTCTTTCTGATTGTCAGTGGTTACCATCCAGGACTAGAGATGAAGACATAGGACAATGAGAGGAATGGGTACCAAACACACAATGCCACTTGGCATTTATTTTTATTTGGAGCTCTGGTGGTGTAGTGCCTAAGGCACTTGATTGCTAACCAGAAGGCTGGTGGTTCAAACCCACCAACCACTCCTCGGAAGGAAGGTTGAGCAATCTACTTCCATAGAGATACCGCCTTGGAAACCCCAGGAGGGGTCGCTATGAGTCAGATCCAACTGGACAGCAGTGCGTTGTTTTTTTCTCATCAGTTGGTTTTCTTGTCATTTTCCTCTTTCCTCCTTACGTTTAGTGTCAACAGGATTCTGACTGATTGGACAATCTGATCACATCTTGTTGTTGGTTAAAGAGAGGTGGATCCAAAGATGATTTTTTTTCCCCCTAACCTATGTAGGAATTTTCCCTCCTCTCCCTTCCTAGCCCTGGTTCATCTTATATCTCTTGAAGGAATGAAAGAGGAACTAACACTTCTTTAGCACCAAATTTAGCCCATGGGAGGCAGTGGTAGTTCAGTGGTGGAATTCTCACCTTCCGTTCAGTTCACCTCAGTTTAATTCCTGGCTAATAGATCTCCCATCTGTCAGTGGAGGCATATGTGTTGCTATGATGTTAATCAGGTATCAGCAGAGCTTCTAGACTAAGACAGACTAACAAGAAAGACCTGGTAATCTATTTCCAAAAATCAACCAATGAAAACCCTATGAGTCACAAGAGTTTAATCCACAACCAATCATGGAGAGCATGCAGGATCAGGCAGAATTTTGTTTCTTTGTGCACGGGCTGCTATGAGTTAAGGCCTGACTGGACAGCAGCTACAACAGCAACAAAACAGACCAAACATTTTAAAATTTAAGGGTGATACTCAAGTTCTTCCCTTAGTAGATGAGCTTTTGTCTTGTGCTGATGTGTTTTACAGTTTTTGGAGTGAACCTAGGATGATAAAAAAAAAAAAGAGAGAGAGAGAGAGAGATCTGGATAACACTGGAGTTCCATGATGAATAAAATGTCCTCTCATACTTCAAAATATGTCAATGACTCCCTAATTTTAAAGACAAAACCCAAAATAAAGTGTCTGCTTTCCAAAGCACAAACACAGTCAATAGTTTCCTTTGGTTAGGCTTTAGTTAGTTTGCTCTTCATACTCTCTACTAGATACACACTACAGTCTTGGAAGAAAATCGTTGGTTCACATCGTTTGTTTTATTCCATGCCTGACAGTCCTTTTCCACAGCCTACCAACCCAGAGGAGGGATTTTCTGAATATAGCAACAGTTAACACTGCTTTCTCTAAGAGTAGCCCAAATCTGTCCTTTTTTGTCAAGAATCGGGGAGGGGGGTATAGGAGACATTGTTGTTGTTGTTATGTGCTGTTGAGTCGGCCCCGACTCATAGC